CAACCCGTACGTCGCCTTCAGGCGCAGGACTGAGAAAATGCAAACCCGAAAGAACCGCAAGAATGACGAAACATCTTATGAGAAAATGTTGAAATTGAGGCGCGATCTGAGCCGTGCTGTGTATGTCTTGATATAACCCATTCATCATATCATTCATCCATTAATTGTTTTTTGTATTTAATTTGATTTTTACAGAAATCTATTAGATTTTGTAAAACATAGGGAAAAGTTAAAACGAGAACATCTCAAGTGTTCGGTCGATGTCTATGAGAAACGGTATACTATTTGTGATGATATTTATAAATTGTTGTTTTAATTAAACATTGATTTGTGTCTTCAGATACCAAATGGGAGACTTTAGCGGACAAATCATTAGCGAAGTATCAGCGCTTCGGCACATAAGACCGTCGTCTACCTATTTGTCGCTCAATAATCAGAGCGCGAAAATGGCTGAACGAGGTGTCGGTCGGCCGAGGGTTCGGGTAATTGATTATAATTTGTGGGCAAATGATTTGTTTTATTAATAAATGCTTTTTTTGATGAACAGAATGAAGAGCACTCTCAGCCCCGACGTAAACGTGTCTATAAACGCCGTGATAAACGGGATGAGCCATCCATTACTCCGGTTCGCGTCGAAGTTCATGACAACGATTACGTGTTTAACAGTTCGGACGACGAGGCGGACAGCACTTCGCCGATCGCTGACCAGATGTCGGATCAGGAGGAACAGGAAGATCCCGACGGAATCTACGCTTTCAAACGGAAGAGAGGCTGTAGTTATTACGCGCCACTCATCGATAGGTTAGGTAACTGGCCCTGGGCTTCACCACTCGAGGGCGGCTCCGGAGACCGTCGATACAGGTTTTGTTTGACATCTATTTCGAAACCAACGCCGCGTTGTATTGGGTTTTCTCGACGACGATTCGGGAGAGGAGGACGGTATGGATGAGCGATGAGATTGTTTTGTCCCTGTTTTGAGAGCTAATGGTTTTGTATTACAGATTACATTTAGATCGGGCCTACACTCCACTCGACCCCTTTTGGTCGGAATTCTCTCGAAACACAATTCCCAATGGCTTTCCTTCTAATGAGCTTTTGAGTGAAATTAAAAACGAATGGTCTGTTTGTCTCTCACTGTAATGTTTGCAATGAATTAACGATTGAATGATTTGTTTTAAAGGTTACACTTCAGGCCCCGAACCCCACCTCAAGAGTCTTCAAGTTTGTGTTATTTGTCAGAAAGTGTTGATAACAATGAATACGACGCCGAAGGGAATGTGATTCCTGTTGTGTCGATCACATCATTGAAGGAATTCGTCGACGAGAACAGCATTACATCGAATGGTATCCACAATGAGATCGATATCGAAAGTTTCCACAAACATCAGGAAGAGTTGATCGAAATGCAGAGAAAGCAAATGGAAAGACTCAAACACAACCACCAGACGGGAGGCGACACCACCACAACCCCCAAGAGTGGGACGTATAGTGTGTGCAATTCTGAACATTCCTCCCACTCTTCGTCGACCAAAGCGGTCACATCGTCTCCGAAGGCGAGCCCAATGTCATCGCCAGTGAAGAAGGCGTCGAAAGTGTTGTCGTCGGACAACTGGCCGATACGGTCGACGCCAACGGCGCTGCAGTTCTCGACACTGGACTCGGCTTCGGTTCAGTTCGCCGTTAGTGTAGTTCGGAGTGCGAGTGAATTGACTGCAAACATGTCTCACAATAGGACACAAACTCATAACACATGTGCTAATGACTCATCCAAAGAGACTCAACTCAACTCTTATGCCAACAATTGTGAGAAACAATACATTAGTGACAAACCAATCGGTGCGAGCAATGGTCCCATTCATGGCAACGATTTGTATCGAAAGACAATTAATAGTGAACTAAGTTTGCCGTCCACTGCATCTCTGACCACATCTACGACGGGCCCAGAGCTCGACGCAAATGACTCACACTCTCTCACACCCATTACACCGCACCCGACGCCACACCAGAGCCCACACCCGACCACACACTCCACTTCTACCCCAACCTCTTGTAAATTGAAATTTCAAAATAGAAGCCAAAAGACGAACACAAGTATACCTCCGACTGATGTCACTTGAATTGAATGATAATTTATATTTCTCTCGATTTTCATTGTTTTCCAATTGATTTATCATTTGAACGATTGCTCCCATTCTGTGCTGTAATTCGTTAAAACTTTTGTTTGTCTCAAACCGAGTCATAACTATACACAACAAAAAACTTAAACATTTTTTTGATTTTCATTTGCATTAGTATTGAAAATAAATTGTTTTATATATTTACTGTATTTTTAATTTTATTTATATAACGAACAATAGATTATAAATATATATATACTGTAACATCGATAAAGGGCTTGCATTTCTCACAGCAAACAAACCCAATGAATAGAGATTTTGTTTATTTACTTATAATTGCAATGTATAGACATTTAAATCCCAGAATATTAGCCAATTCTTTGCGATGTACTGACAAATTGTAAGCCATTTATTATCAAATTGTCTATCGTTGCTATTATTGGCAAAGCTTTGAACAAAATGTGATTTCACTATTATTGTGGGTTTAAAGCCCTCTTTTGTGGACAAAAAAATCATTTAAATACCTAAACGACGAAATACAATGAGATAATCGATTGGATATTGTTTTGATGTCTATTAAAATTGATTAAACAATTGCTGAGATTGTTTTGAACGCATGAAAACGATTAGATATTTAAATGACAATAAATTGATTTCAATAATAGACTCAACAAAAAAAACCATTTGTGAGTTTTGTTTAACGCAAAGAAACTCATGACTTGTGATAATCATATGTTTGTATTTTACTTACAATCATAAAATTATCGACACAACAAACTGACGATTAAATGCCAGTTAATTATCACAACAATATATTGAGCCCCAAAACAGCCAAATATATATTCATTTCCTGAAAATAAACAGAATTTCTTTTTGAGTTCAAAAACTTTTAAATTATATTTTCTAAAAGTGTTATCAACACAAATATTGATTACATCACTATTAAGTTACCATTACTTACGGATATAAATCGTAATCTATTCAATATTTTGGAAATTTGAGTCCAATTTTAGGCAAATATTTCACCAATTGATACCTTATATATCAAACTATTTGCTTCCGATGAGACTAAACAACACTTTTCTAATGTGTTGAGACGTTGGGCATTGAGTTTACAGTCCAAACATTTTAAACGCTTTAATTTCGTTCAACAAATTGATTGATGCATTTACTTTTGATTTAATCAGGAAAAGCAAATATTCTGATAGTTTGTAACCCTTTTATTATGTACTTAATTACCTGTATTTTCTATTCAATGCAAACGTTTCCAATATATAAGTTTTTATATTAGTTTTTTAACTCTAAAATTTAAATCAAAAGGTAATATCTGAAAGTTAATTGCTTTTTATATCAATCATATGTGATCGCAAGAAGTGCTGCATTTTTGCATACTTTTCACTCAATTAAAGCCTTTTATAACAATTAGTGTAAAAAATTATCTCAATATTAAGTGATGACAAAACAATCTAATGTCTCGCTAAAGAATCTGTACTAAAGATCCGTAATATAGACATTCACTCCTCATATGTCTATAAATGTATGGATTTTATGAACAAATGTTTTAAAATCCACACATTTTGTAATGAATATAATGATAAAACGTGTGAAACAATGAAATTATGTCTATAACGACCATCCAGTAATGTCCGTTACAATTAACCAGGTAAGTTAGCTATACGTTGAAAGCCGGCGTATAAAGTAAAACTCAAATTATTAAGTAATATCGAGAATATGTATAAATACGTAAACGTGATCAATATATTAGGGGTAATCATAAAAACGTTATACAAGTTATCTAAAAGATTAAGACATTAGCTTAAATATCGTGCAAATAATAATAAGTAAATCACATGCAATACAGTATAACTACTGTACTGTATATAGTGTGCGAATTAATGAATATTCTTGAATGCTGTCAAATATCGTTAATAACTTTGAATATTAAGACCAACGTTATTACAGTAAAGGCTTTACTAATAGCCTATTACTTATACTGTACATTGAATTATTAAATATATTCTATGTTTTAGAGCAAACTAGAGAGCAATAAGTGATATAATTAGTGTGACCAACTTTGTTTTGATCAATAGTGTATAAACTGCTAAAATTGAGGCTAAAATAGTGGACAATAATTTTGCACTAGTATTTTATTTTTAAAAAGTAGCTGATTTTAAAATGTATATTTGAGATTGCGATTTAAAAGATTTTATCAATTCATTATTGGATTTAACAAGTGATATAAATTTGTTACAACCAATATTTTGATGCAATTTTCGGCTTTTTAATGCAATAGTCGATTTGTCACAAAACTGATGCAATACACGTAAAGTCACATAAATAAGTGATAAAAACAGGGGTCAACTTTCGCAGTCAATCCCGCATACGGGTGGCTAAGTGTCCACAAACTAAGTAATTACTCTTCAAATCACAAAATATAAACGCATGTCATTCTTGAAATCAATGCATTTAAATGTGTGTATAATTTTGTTAAATAATTTTAATCTCATTAATAATTTGTTGACTTTATACTATTCTATGCTATATGTGATGTTTTTTGTTCAACAAATTTATTGTGAAAATATATGTATTTTTGCAACTTTTCTGCTTCTCTCTCTCTCTCTCTCTCTCTCTCTCTCTCTCTCAATAGAAATAATTTACAAATAGTGTATAATCTGTAGATAGTGTACAGAGGTCTCAAATATTGTACTGTACTGTCCAATAGTGTACAGTTGGTCACGCTAGATATAATGCTTTCTTATGAATAGAGCAGAGATTATTCGGGAATAAAAACCACCCAATTCGATCGTGAACCGGGAGTAAAACAGTCAAATTCGGGAATATTCTAGAATTAACGTTTATTCAGTTCAAACACAATAATTATAGATTTAAATCACTTTAAAATAAATTATAGTAGGTAGAATGACATATAAATTAAAATTTTACTCTTTAACTCTGTCTTCTATTTGTAAGAATATTCTTAAATTGAAAGAAAAAACGTTCAACAGCGTCCAACTCATTTAGTGCATATTTTGTTAGATATCTTATCTCAAAATTTTGAGGATTTTTATAATAATATTTTTAGTTTTTCTTGAAAAAGAGTGCGTTTTAGCCTATTTTGAATAAAATTTCTGGATTTTTTTCTAAAATATGTCAAAGGCGGGAATATTTTCAAAATATGCTAAAATCGGGAATATTCTGAAAATATGCCAAAATCGGGAGTATTTGGGAAAATAAAAATGGTATATTTTTACTCCATTATAACCTCTAAGACTAACTACATGTTATTCCCGAACATTCTATTAACTAATTTTATTCGGGAATTCCCGAAGAATCTTTGCTCTAAGCATAAGTCTATGGGACTAACTGTAATGCTAATCCTATAGACAATGATGCATGTAGTAGTAATAAATCTATGGACAATGATAACTCTTTGAGCAATTCAAACTCTTATTTTTAGATTACAAACCTTTGAATTATTAATGTTTGGCCACTATATAAGACCTGCACTCAGTTTCTTATCATTTATGACGAAAATCCTTATATACGTCTCGACTAATTTTATTGTAAACAATAATTTATAAATATACCAAAAATGTTTCTTATAAAGGTATTTCTCAAAGAGGGGTTTCCTACGGACAGGTTCCACAGCATTTGAAATATCAATCTTCATTGTGAATGTATATAAAGATTAGATTCTAACAATTTTAAATTTTAAAATATTAGTCACAGTTTAAATTAGTAGTCACAATTATTAGCCCCTTTAGATTCTCGTGCGATATAGCTCTACATAAAACTAATATTTTGCAAAATATATAAATTTAAATATATATTCACATAACGTTAAACATAATATTATATAATACATATTATGTAATCGTTTTATATTATAAGCTTATTAGTACCGTAATGATAATCTTACTGTTATGAACTCATATTTAAAATTGTCAGCATTACCTATAATCATTGATGTAGGTAACACAACATTGATCCCATAGAATTACTATCGAAGATTGAATTGACATTAGTTGTATATTGTGTAAACTTAACATTGTCGATAGAGTTAGAATCACCATAAGATTAGCCATAAACATATCATTAGTTCTTAACATCAATAGCAATATTAGTTGCATGTATTGCATGTTTATTTGCTATAAAGCGTGGGAACATCTCGAATAAACAGCAATTTTATGCAACATTATAGTTAAAAATACAAATTCATGCAAAAATTCATGCAATGAACACATATTTATGTCAAGAATTGATGCAAAATCTTGTCAAACGCCAAACACGCGGACAATCAGTGTTTCCATGCATTATATCTCAAATGAACTTAATTTGTGTCATTGAAAGACTCTTTACGTTAAGAATCGTTTAGTAGAAAAAAGGCCGACAATTGCTTTCAATTTAATGGTAAAGCAGTGGTCACTCATTAAATGAATATTTGAGTTAAGACAGGGAACACATGATAGAAAATAAACACAATTAACGCTTTTCTATGTTAATGGATTAGAGATCAAATCAAAGCTAATCCTTATCATATGAAAAGTGCATTACTTTTAAATAACGAGACAATCATAACAAGCAAAAGGCGGGGCCTTTATCTTTGGCTATCTTTTAAATGTTGGGAAAATTGTGAGAAATAAGCAAATTATGGATAATTTAATGTTTATATAAGACTTTTAATTAAATTTCATAACAATTTGTCATCTTTTCATAAAAAGATTCATTGATTTATGCATTCATTGACTTCTGTGTGAATTTAGGATAAAAAGATAAACAAAGATAGTGTTTAACCTAAAGCTCATAAATACAAACAAGAAAATAGTTTTGGGACTTAAGGATTGATAACAAGAATTTGAGTGAAGAGTCGCGCCTGAAATTTGACACAATATATATGGGACCGGATGTGACACCAAAGGCTCAGTACATGTCTATCATATTCTTCGCATTCAATACTTTTTATTAAACAAATTGTGGATAAAAAGTCTGTTTGCAAAAAAAATCGTTGAGAAGTTGTCTTCAAAGTTAACGTTTCGATTGAAATGTTTGTCGAGAGAGTGAACGAAAGAGAGGCGGCATTCAGTCGCCGATAAAGTTAAGTAAAGATATAATAAATTTCGTGTCACTTATGATATA